TTCTGGCTCTGACACAGGGCTACAGCGGTGGCGAGCTGTGGCTGGCTCATGACTTGGGGGATACAAGGATGTTGTGTGGTGGTGTCTTCCGGAGGGGGATCAAGATTGACGTCACCACTCCCTTCCAATTACTCATGCTACGTGTGCCTGGACAGGAGACCGGGTTGTGTTGTCGGCCTATAGCACGGCTGCCAGTACGTGCAACCTCTCGGACGATTTGTACTGCCGGCTCTGCTCTTTTGGTTTTCGGCCTCCTACTGCTCACGAAGAGGATCGCTTTCGACACGAGATTTGGGGGGCCACGGTTACGAGGCAACTGAGGCTTGAGCCTAGACTGGTGTGGCCGCGGGGCACCTTGTTACACCACCCTCCTGTGACGATCGACCTGGAGGATTCCTGTCCAGCAACGATACCGATACCGTCTGATACGGAGTCGGATGTCATCAGCATGTGCATGGGAGCAGCCAGTCCAGAGCCCGACTACTGGGATTGTGTTATTTCCGATCCGGAGTAATCTTTGTGCTCTTTTTGTTCTTATTTCGGTGTTTCGGAGTTTGGGTGCTCTGGCTGCTCCTTTTTATTTCCCTCACGGGTTTTTGCCTCTGCATGTAGTGGGTAATCCGCTAGTTCTGTGCAGCTCTAGGCTCTGATACTGACCGCTGTAGAGGTTTGGTCACCATCCATGATTTTCCAGCTGGCCTGCGCCGTGGCCTTTGGGCTATGCTTGGCAGCGATGTACTCGGTGTACTGCATGTTCCGACTGAGTATGAATTCAATGCGTGCCCACGAAGCTGTTTTGCTGCAGCTCCTTGGAGAGCAAAGACAGATGCATGACCTCCTGAACCAGACTCGGGGCGACGTTGCTGAACTCCGACGAAGACATGGTGAAGCCCTGGACTCTCTGTACCATGGCCTGCAACTACGATCCAGACTGGGGGCAGTGGACAATACTCATGCCCTTGTTCAGGAACTCCATTCTCGGGTGTCTGGTCTCGCGGGAATACAGCATGTTGGCCACGTGCGAGGGCAGCTGCACGATGTCTTGGATGCTCTGCGCGAGATACAACAATCGCTCGAAGGGATGAATGTGGACGGGAGTGCCTCGTCTTCAGCGCTGCCCATCGTCCGACTTGCCGTTCCTACTGGTACTGAACTGCAGCTGCTGTGATACATTCGAATTCAGCATAGGCAATGGACGAGAGTGCTTTGTTGTGTTTGCTTTTGGTTCTTGTTAGCTCGGGTCTTCGTTCTTTTGGTGTAGCCTTCACACGCACTCTTCGCGCCTGCTGGAGAATTCCTTGAATTTACTGATTTCCGAATTTGTAGCCATGTAGCATGTTGGAATTTGCAGTTGTGCGTGTGCAGCCGAGTAAAAGCATGTGCCGCCGCGAGCTTGCCAGCGCATAGGGGATGATGCGATGTTTGGAAGACGATGTAGGTGATACCTTTGACCCTCGGGACCAGCATTTTCTGCCCAACACTTGGTATCCACTGCCCGTCCTAGCACTGCTTCCTGTTCCTGTCTCTAGCCTGAGCCTTGGCTGCTTGGGGGCCGCTGGGCTCGATTACATGATCGACGAGGCGCGTACTTTGGGCAGGGTTTTCAGGGTTTTCTTTGGGTTCTTGGACGTGATGCTTGTGACGAGGGCCTTTTGGGGTACTTCTGGGTAGCCGCTTCTGCCACATAAAGATACTAGGACGCATGCTGCTTCAAGCATCCCCCTCCTGCCAGCTCTAACGCCGCATGCTTGCGCAGCTCCTTTGGCTGACGCGCCCAGTAAACTGAAGGCTACAGCTAGACTCCCGTGCTGAGGCGCCATGTCTGTTGCCTTGTACCAGGCTCAACACCGCTTTCCCGAGGGAGGCGAGGATGGGCCGGATCTCACCGGAGTATGGTGCATGCTCCTCACGGGTCTGATGGGAGCCTTGTTGGCTGGTCTCTTCTTCCTTGGCCACTACTGGGGGTGGGCCCTTTTCCCCTGCATGCGACGTGCGGGGGTCCAGCAACGTTTGGACGATTTGGTCCGGGCCGTGCAACAACTGCAAGCGCTGGTTCATGCTGAAGGCTATGCCACCCGCAGTGCTGGCGCGGACGCCCTTCAACGGGCCATGGGCCTGCTTGACGTGGACGATTCCCTGACTCGCATGCTCAATGATGGATTCGAGGACGGCCGCAATCGTCTGCAAGCCATCATGAACAAAGTCATGAAAGTTGGCGAGGTGGCCAACACAATCCATGCCATGCACGCGAATTTGGGGAATACCCTTGCAAGCCACCAGCTGGAGCTTCAGAGAACCATCCAGCGTGCCAAGGACGACCTCAAGCAAGCCTTTTCCTCTGCTGGGTCGAAACTGGCGGGCAGTGAACACAAAAGCATCACAGATGCTCTCAGTGCCATCTCGGCTGCCCTCGAGGAGGCCAAGCTCAACACCTCTACAGCTTTGGATGCGGTGGCCAAGAAGATGGTGAAGGACTATGCGGACCTTCAACGATTCCTCACTCCGCTACAACGAAACCAAGAGAGTTTCTCCACGGGCATGAACGGGAGGTTCGAGCAGCTCCAGAAAGACCTCTCAGGCATCTCCTACGCCTTGAGCAAGCAGATCAAGGAGCTCAGTGGACAAGTGCGATGGGCTCAGCAATCCCTGGATAGAATTCAGGGGGACAGCGAACACTTGCCAGATAAACTCAATTTTCTGAGGGGGCTTCTTGAGGCGGTCAAGGAACAGCTGGAAGTCCTTCAGAAGGAGATCGAAGCTATGAATGCGGAGCCAACGGCACGCTCTCCCACTGCAGACCCGGCCACAGCTTCAGGACCAGGACCCGCCGCCCCACCGCCTCCGGCTCCGGCGGCAGCGACTGCGGGTGGACCAGGGCCCACGATGCTGAACCTGGACGAGTCCCTCCCAATGGTGAGCCGCCAAGGGCAGGGATATTTGTGCCCGATCACGCTCCCGGATGGGAAGGTCATTTTCATCCCGAGGTCGGTTCTTGCACAGATGCTAGGAGCACATGTATTGTAAATGTCTCGCTGCTCTTGAGGGCCTGGAGATCCTTTCTATGTTGCACTGTTTTGCTACTTCTTTGTGGCCTCTATGTTCCTGTTTTCCATGTGTCGATGGCCCCTCAGCAGCACATCCGACGACTGTGATGATGCATGCTCGTACAGTAGGAGGCGAGAGCGATGTTTTTCATGCGCCTGGCCCCTGAATTTCATGCAAACTGCAAGTGTCGTGAAGACCCGAATTTGGTGCATCGAATTTTCAGCATGCCTGCATTGAATTCAAGAATATGAATTTAAGCCTGCGAATTTGGGAATGATCATAGGTCGTCTTTTGCAACAGTACCGAGCATCCACAGCCAAGCAGAAGAAATGCCGCTTCGAGTGTCTTCTTGGACGACCCCACACAAACCCACAACCACCCCTCTCCCCTTGCCCTCTCCCCCCCCCTCTCCCCCCCCCCCCCCCCCCGCTCCCTTCCTCCCTAGGTCATGGAGTCTTGTTACACCATAGCCCCAGCGTCTTGTTGCAGCGTACATAGCCATACCCTCCCCTCTAGTGTCAATACATGCCTGCACTGTCATATGCCCTGCTGTTCCTTAGCTCCAAGCCAAGCGTCTTGTCGTTTCTGAGTGGCATTGTTGCCGAACCAGAAGCGAGCCCACTGCTACTCCCGTTGCCCTACAAACACACTGAAGCCTGACAGGATCTTCATGCTCCGCATCACCACCGCGATCGGGGGACGGGCACAAACAGGGCAGTGCTGCCGGGAACCACGCCAAAGCAGGGGTTTGGAGGGTCTTTCCGGCCCCGTCATTCCCGCGTTCTCGTTCGTGTTGTGGGTTCTCCTCCAACCCTCCCTATTCGGGGTCTAGGTAGCCCTAGCCCGCGGCGCTTCTGCCATGGCTCACAACTGCCAGTTTTCTGCTCGCACCTCTGGGTCCTGGCTGGCTTGTGATGGCAGACGATGCCACGCTCTAAATGCTGTTTCGGCCCCTGGCGCGACGACTAGACGACTGCTCTGACCACTGGGACTGCTTTGATGCCACTCATTATTGTGTGTCTCCTTGGATTCCCCACGGAGAGACCAATGATGGGCTGTTCTGGTTATGCTGCCCCTGATGTATGTCCCATAGCTGACACCGCGGACGCAAAACGTATTCTTGGGAGATGCCCGGCCGAGATGATGGAGTCTGTTATGCTGCACTGATGTATGTCTGGCAGCCGAATACATGCTCCACTGAACGCGAGTCTGGAAGCACAGAGCCTTCGTTGTGCATGCATGGAATTTGGGCTATGCTTTCTGCATACCACGGCTTACACCAAACTGACTGCAGCAATCTGGGTGATGCATTGAATTTGGATGCATACGATACAGCGTGAAGGGCCTCTGCCCTGTGGTGTCTACTGACTGGAGTGCCGATGCTGGGCCGTTTTTCCTTGCATCGCTGTCGAGCCTACAACCAGAGGAACGTACCAGTCTGGACGCTTAGACGTACAACGCGCATGAACGGAATTTGAGAATTTGAATGCATGTGCAACTGCATGAAGCTGTCGAGCCCTCATCAGCAAGTGGCAACGGTCTGGACATTTGGGCGTCCAACGAGCATGAATGGATTGGGAATTTGTGTGCATGTGTTGCTGCATGTATGGCATTTTGCCAGTGGGGCCAACTGGACTGAGGATGCCGTGATTTCTGTGTTGATGAGTTCACAGTTTGAGGATGATGCGAATAGCTGCAGGATGCAGGTTGAGGTTGATCGTAGCGCGGATAATGTTTGCTGTCGTCAATGTATGATGGCTTGGGCCACATGTGCCTGTCGTGGGACCAGGGAACCTCGCCAAGGCTTGTCCGAGTGTGAGTGCTGAAAGCCCCGGTTGGGAGGAGGCTGCAGCTGAACAGCGTGCTGCGGAGGCCTCGCCGCGGGAAGGGCAGTGAGCGGGTTTGGGGGTTTAGGGTTTAGGCGAAGGCAACTGGGTGTTTATGCGGAACACTCCATGCGCGGGCTTTTTCCAGTTGAGGCCTTGTCCAAGCCAGAGGATGCCGATGGCCACGTCTACATCGACGATGGGAAGCTACTCGTATTGATCTTTGCCAGTGGGTTTCAGCGATGAAAATTGACGTGGTACTGCCATAGCATTGATCGTGGCTGTTCCTTCGGCGAGCATTGGCGAGCAAGGTCCACAGGATCGCAGAGTTCGTCACGAGAAGGCGGTCCCCGACCAGTTCGGGCTGACGCTGCTTGCCAGACGGACGGCGAGGATGGCATCGCCTTTTGTCACGAGGCCACGGCCCATTCCCTCACGCAAATGCTGTGGACTGATGCTGCGAACATGGTCGACCAAGATGAGCTCAGGTCCGTGGTTCCTCGCCGGAGACTTCGGCGACAAGATCCGACAATTCCGATGGTCCGCTGGCCACCAGGCGCTCAATATCAGTGGCAGCTAGCTGAGTTGCTTTGCTCGAGAGCTGCAAGGAGACAAGTGAAACCTAAATAAATGCCATCATCCCGGAGCCTCAACTCGGGGAGCTAGCCGGCATCGAGTTTTGTGCGTGCGTTCCGAGGTTGGCTGCGGAGAGTACACTCCGGATGACCCCCATCTGCACCTCGGTCTATGCCAATACCTTGCTTGGACTGACTTGCAATTGCAAACAACAGACATCCCGTTGGCATCGGGTGTTGAAGGGGAGGATGCAAAAACGCACCCATTATGTTTCCCAGAAGGCTGCTTGTTCTTGACGGGCCTCGCAGTTCAATCGACCTTGCATGCCTGAGATCGCTCACTCTGCGCTCACTCTGTGTCCAGACTTGCTGTAGCTGGTTTAGCAAAGCTAGATTTTGTGTACACTATGAGAGGCAATGTGCCCAAGACTCGAGTCTGGGAAAAAGTAGGAGGTCCCAGCTGGTATAAGTTTTTCGCTCGGAATTCAAGGGCTCGGATGCCCTGGCTCCTCCTCAGGTCTGGCCTGGGGATTGCGAGGCTACAGTCATGACCGGACCCTTTGCATTCGGATGCCAACTTCATTCTAGGCACCAACATCCAGAAAGAAAACAGCGTATGCATGTATACATGTGTGTCTCTGTGGCTTACCCAAGCGACCACCAAATTTTTGGTTTGGGCATCCTATCTGCAAAGGCTGGCATCCCTCGACATCTCCGACGACGACGACGACGACTACTACTACTACTACTACTAGGGTTGCGCGCCTCCTGGTGTCTGGTAGTTTTCAGTGCTTCGAGGGTGTAAAATGCTGGGTTTTTAAAATGCTTTAGAAATTGTAGTTAACCCAACTGAAAAAAACAATAATTACCAAAATTGGCAACTGAACCCTGAACACCGCCAAGCAGCTTGGCAGTGACCCCCCAACTGTGTAGAAGCAAATCGTGCGAAGAACCTTTGTCTTGCTGATGTATGCTGCCAGGCTACGTAGTCGCCAGCACTGTGGAGGTCTATGGCACGACAATTTCACCCTGCTGCTACGAACTGGTTCCTCGCGAGCACATTTCGGAAACCAGCATCGCTGGTGAATGGGGGGTCCGGATTTGATGCTGGGTACAACTTCTGCTGCTCGGCATCTCCTCCAAAGGCTTCGGCGAAGGGGTCCGCCGGGTGGTTGCCAAGCAGTCTCATCTTTTCCGCGAAGGCAACAGTGGCCTCGGGCCTGCATGGCACACTTGCAGTGCATGCGATACTGGCAAAGCCAATCCCTCATTGTCAGCCACTGTTCTTAAGTAAGCCGCTGCTCGACTGGATAAGTGGACGCGTCTTTGTGGAAACATGTGGCACGTTGAGGATGCAACTTTCGGAACACCAGATGCTTCTTCCCGTTCGCAAGAACATCCGTGCCTGTCCATGCTGCCCATGTCGGCCACGTGCTTTAGCAAAGCCTGGAAGCAGCACATTCAAGTCTTCAAGCAGCTTCAAGCAGGGTCTCCACAAAACACAGCACCAACTGCTCTTCCAGCCGAGCCCTTGCGTGGAATTGAGCACTGGGCTCCGGGGCTTCTGGTCCGCTGCGAAAGCACTCGCCAGCTCAGCAGATCTCGCACCTGTGGTGCACCAAGATCAAAATCTCTCGAAAGACGCCCTCACAACATCTGCTCGACAGACCCACCATCCACTTCTCAGCCGAGCTACGCTGAGGTACGGTAACATGTCTGGCCTCAGGCTGTCTGGGCAGGTTGCGCACAAGTGTGTAGGGCAGTGCAGGCCACCCCAAAGTTACAGCACTGCTTGTGCAGGCTGCCGCAGGTCTTTTGAAACACATTCTGTGGGCCATCTTTGCTCCTGAAGCCTTAACACGCCTACAAAATTCCAAACTCTGTGTCTTTTGCTGTACTTCTGTATGCAACTGGATGCTCTGAAGTGCAAACAGTCCAAGACCAAGGCCCCTCAACATCCCTCTACTGGCCCGCCACACTGTGAATACTGCTCATGTACAGGCCATTCTGCAAAAATGAATGAGAAAATGCTCCGGTCTAAAGCGGAGGTCCAGTTATGACCGTCATAAGGTCCGAACATCATTCCTGTAACTTCGCAATTCCCAGGCCAAGCTGCAAGATCTATTGGCCGGGTGCTCAGAAGACTCGGGAGTGACGAAGGCAACCATGCATGTGCACATGCGTAACTGATAGTGCTAAGGTCGAGGAGGCGATAATGACGACGATGATGGCCACGACGGCGATGACAGCGATGATGACCATTACGATACTGGTGTTGGTGCTGACGCTGATGCTGATGGTGGTCATCATCGTAGCACGGTTGTGTGAAGTTGGCACGCTTACACGCAGCATGAGTCCCAGGTCAAAATGCCTTCGGAACAGAGACGGTTGCATTGAACCCACCGGATGACGTGCTCATGCCTCTCAAGCAAATTCCTTTCCTTCAAGTCGTTTGTGATCGGCCTATGTATGGGTACACCACTTGTTCGTATGCGGTAGCCGAGACTGGACTCTTTGCAACGCGGAAAGTGCGAAAGTGTATATATATATATATACATATATAATATAATATATATATATATATATAGAAGTTTGCTTTTGTATATGTGTATACATGGTTCTACATATACATACATACATACATACATACATACATGTGTGTATATATATATGTTACTTATGCACATACACACATATACAGGTATACCTTTTTTGATTTGTCGCCGACTTGCGTAAGCGTACACCTTGTATGCTATTTAGAGACACGCATGCATGCATTCATGCATAAATACGTACATAATCGTTCATACACACACACGCATGCAGGCACCCCCCCCCCACACACACACACACACAAAACCCACCCACACCCACACCCACACACCCACACACACCCACACACACACACACACACACAAGCACACACACACACACACACACCCAGGATTTGGCGCTTGCATCGAGGGCGATTTGGATGGACCGTGCGTGGGAGAAAAGGGCGGAGGCAGCAGTTACCTCAGTAGCAGCAGCAGTGCAGGGGCTGCGGAGATTTCGAGGGGACGATTTGATGTCGTTGCGAAGTCCAGGCTTGCCTTTCGAAGACATCATCTTTTTGTGCGCTAGGTTGACGTCGCGGTTCTTTTTTGGACATCACCAGGGGCTCTAACAATTCCAGAGCTGGCACCAACAAATCCATGTCTTCTGCTTCCCAGTCAGCACCTTGTTCTTCCTCTGTTGGTTCTCCGGCTATATCCTTTGTGCAGCATTTTGCAAGCTGGTCCGTCCCCCTTGTCGTGGGCAGTATTTAAGACGGGGCCAGTGGCCAGTGGGCTCAGGATGAAATGAACGACATGCTGGCCGAAGCACAGAGGCCCCCTGGTTTCTCCATGGCCGAAGCCGAGAAAGATCCTTGTAGTGCAGTGTCGCAGGAATGTGTCCATGTTTGCATGTAGAAGCGTTATCCCATTGTCCTGATATGCAAGCCTCGACCGTTTGTGCCCAGGGCATGCCATCTCATCGAGAAGCCACCGTCACGGTTTGTTGGGATTTCTGGGAGGTCTGGGCTTCTCCCGTCTCTAGATTAAAGTAGTGATCAATGCGTAAGCGCTCCCATACAGCCCGCCATTATGGTTGGTGGAAGAGGAGCTGTGGGGCCCAGAACTTTCAGTCTTTGGTCCCAGTAATCAAACCCCCGCTTGGCAGCAGAAGCGGTCCACCTCCGGCTCCTGCAACATCATGGCCCAGAATCACTAGTATCCGACGCTGCCAGACAAATCCCGTGAAGTAATGCAGAGCCACTGTAGCCAAATCGGTGGGGATTACTCGCCCGCCGGTGAACGGTCCCAACGAAGTGGTGTGATTCATCTTACCAGGGCCCATGGCACATCTCTTTACAGCAGAAACTAAGCATGAAGAAATGGAGAAGACAATGGAAACTGCTTTGTTCTTGGGAATCAAAATGACCCCGCTGCAATTCGTGCATTCTTCGCTATCCAGACGTAAGCGACGCCCCTAAACCTTGTTGATCCATATGATGCATTCAGGCATTGCTGACCACAGCCCTTGGTGGGCATGGTGCGGGGCCCAACGCGTCTATGTGTGTAGATGTTTTCATGGTTTGTCATGTTCATGGTTTGTTATGTTTTGTTTGTAACCACGCCGCCAAGAGCCCCCAAGCCCCTAATGATAGTTGTTCGATGGGCGAGAGCTTCAGTTTTTATTTTTGGGTTAGCATAAGCCACTGATCTCAACGTCCAAATCTACCACACGGTGGAAACAGTCTTACATTACATGATCGCAGAGTTTTCTGGTTTAGGTGGTGTAGTAATCGCAGCCGAATGTGATGGTGTGTTCATGTCAATGAGGCGTAATCATGCCCCAGCTTGCAATTGGGCACGGGTTAAGTCAATGAAGCTTCTCGCAACCCGCCCATTTTGTTAGACCATTCCAAAAAATGCAATTGGAAGCCTGCTTACTTGGCCAACCCACACAGAACGTAACACACCTCTGGCAGCAGTTTGTGGCACTTTTCAGTTGTTATCGAGAGTGAGCCCTGGATTGTTCTTCGTACAATTCTACAGAATGTGTTTCATGTTTTCTCTTCATTTTCAAGCGGCTTCATTTCCTTCTAACAACCTGGTTTGGTCAAGGTCTTGTTGCGGTAAGAACTTCTTATGTCAAAAGCATGGCTTTGAGTAGCATGCGCTGCATGTAGCTAATACGTCAGGTCGTGTCTTCTGCAAGAACTCGACCGTCACACTTGAGAGTTGGGCATGGTGGAGAAAAAAAGATCGGCAGCACCACGGGCGATACGGGGCGTTTCCGGCTAATGCTAGTGCTAAGTAGTAAGATTTGGTGGTGATTGTAGTTTCGAGGTAGTGCCCCAGTCCTAAGAAATATATACGATTTATTGCGATTATTTGCAATTTGCAAATGGAGTCCCGGTGCTAAGCAATACGAATTGTTGCCGCTAATTTGTGGTTTCGCAGTGGCGCCCTAGAACTAAGAAGTACGATTTGGTTTCCGCTATTCGCGAATTCGTTGTGGCGTCCCACTGCTAGGAAGTAGGATTTGTTGCGATTGTTGGTGGTTTCGAAGCGGTTCCCCAGCACTAAAAAAGTGCGATTTATTGCGATTCTATGCGGTTTCCAAGTGGTGTTCTAGTGCTAAGAAGTACGACTTGCTTGCGTTGTTTGTGGTCTCGGAGTGGTGCCCTAGTGCTAAGAAGTACGGTTTGTTGCCGTGGTTTGTGATTTCGAAATGGAAGCCTAGTGTTAATAAAAACGATTATTGCCGTTATTCTTGATTTTGGAAT